ATATGATATGTTATATGTGACTTGATACCTTATGGACATCGATTTACGACCAATTTTAATTGATCTATAATTTGTGCACACTGATCTGTGACCTGTGGACAATGATTTGTGACATATACAATAGAGAAATGCTATTCATCCCCACTGGGGATGTATACCCAGTCTATGTGGCGTTAATGTGACATAAAATGATAGGTGAAATTAAATAAGTCATTTAATTGCACATATCATTTAACCAATCATTTACATCTACATAAATTAAGGATACATCCCCATTGGGGATGAATAGCATTTTTCTATACAATATGACATGTGACCTATGAAGTGTGACAAGCGACCATAAATCAATGATCTGTGACCAAATTAAATTGATATGTAACCAAATTTAATTGATTTGGGACGTGGAATTGATATGTGATCAATTTTAATTAATTCGTGACCTATGACATTGATTTGTGGTCAATTTTAATTAATCTATGACATGTGAACATTGATCTGTGATCAATTTTAAACGACCTTTGAACTTTAGACTTTGATTTGTGACCTATGTACATTGAACTGTGGCCTATGAAAAAATTGTGAGTCAACACAACCCACCCGCCCTAGCACCAACACCATAATCTGCAAACTACCACCACGACATCACCACCAAATGGCCTAAAATTTTATTGCCACCACAACGACTTTACAAACCACAACAACCACAATATCACCTCCATCAACACCAACAACTACGACATCACATCCATTAACACCGGAAACAACAGCCAACACCACGGCAGTGTTAGAAGCAGCATCTTAGATCTGATCATCCTGAAGATTAAGTCGCACAGGGTCGTGTTCACCAATTGGCTATCTCGCCTCACCTAGTCGATGGCCTTCATGGAACAACATCATCAAAAAAGAATCGTGAATGTGCCGCTCAGATCAGTTTCTTCTTGCAACCGGTAACCACTCCCACGAGCGTGAATCGCAATGGCGTTGCGAGATGATAGAATGGAGAAAGGGCGATTTGGGTTGTCGACGTCGAAATCAATTGGTTGGCATTGGGGAGGGGGAGAGAGAGAGATCTCCAAGGTGGGTGTAATATATTATAATTTAGTTTTTAATAAATAATTTAAAGTATCACTTGATTTATGTTTAAATAAACTTTACATCAAATTTTTTATTTATCATCTTTAAATACCTAGTGTGGTGTAATTTCCACATGTTCCAAATCTCAAGCCCAAAAATCGATGAACCTATTTTCTTGTCCAAGGGGCTAACGAGGAAAATTTCTCAGATTCCTTTAAACCCAAACAACTGCTCTTCAGTCTTCTCAATATAAGCACAGTGTTGAAGGGAAACTTTAAGTTTATTTCTAGGAAAATTTCATACATAAGAGATTAAATATGATTAATTTCAAAACTAAGAAACAAGGTTTAAAACTTCAAAAAACAAATATTGATTAAATTTTATTTATGAAATGATTAAATATATTAGTGTCACAATTCGATCACAAATTATCGAATTAATTGATCACAAATTATTTCTCAATTACAAATCAAAAAGTTTATAGGTCACAATTTTTCACAGTCACAAATAAAAAAAAAATTATATGTCACAATTTATTTATTGATCATAAATCATAAATTTTGTAAGTCAGAGCTCAAATTTTTTAAGTCACATATTATTTATTGGCCATCAGTTACAAAATATTTATTGGTCACAATCTCAATAATTGGTCACAAACACGCATAATTCGACCATATACCCCAATCCACCGTGGCACCAAGCGAGAGCAATGCCATCTCACCACCACAGCTATCGTCCCCAATGTCGCCACCAAACCACCATTTTCAACTTCAGACCACCTCCCCCACCACTTGTGACCATCGTCATTACCACCACCACCTCCACCTTACAACTATCGCCTGCACCACCACCACCACCACTACCACCACAGCTCGATAACATAACAAGGGTGCACTGCAACCAACATAGACACAACTTAACAAGCCAAAACTGCAGAATCGTTACCACGATTGAAGTTAACGCCACCAATAATGGTTGTGTCAGTTCCATCTCCTTCATCGCCAAATCCGACACCAAAACTACAAACACCATTGATCTACCCACCTTCGCCACCAAACCCAAATCCAACGTCGCTGTAGCAAAACCACTAATCTACAAACCCAAATCCAACGCTGATCTACAAAACCACAGATGCTGCGAAACCACTATTCTACAAACCCAAATCCAATGTTGTTGCAGCAGTGCCAGAACGACAGCATTAGCAGGAACGATGAATAAATTATGATATTTAAAAATTTTGATTTGTGACCAAATTATATAAAATTGTGATATTAATATATTTAATTTATTATTTCATAAATAAAATTTAATTAATACATATTATTTTTTAAATTTTAAACCTATTTCTTAATTTTGAAATGGGTCATACTTAATCCCCTAAATATGAATTTTTCTTTTATTAAAAAGTCCTCTTAACTGGATCGAGCTCTTTAGTCCTCTCAATATAGGCCCATAGTGTTCAAGGAAAAGTTTAAGTTTATTAAAAAGTTTTTTCAACTGGATCGAGTAATTTTTGGTCCATACACACATTTGGTTTTTGTTTTAAGTTACTCTTCTAAAGTTAAGTTGAGATTCACTTTATAGATAAATAAGTTCTATTAATAAAAATGTAACTTAAAAATCATGTCTACAAAAAAAGGGTAATTTAAAAATAAAATTATAACACTGCTAAGTACAATCAAACATCGTCTAAGAGTAGTGATTGTGGTTCAATTCGATAAAAGTATCCTTTTAAACTTGAGAAATCATTTCTTGTCATTATGATCGGATTTTGTAAAATAAATAAATAATTAGGTGATATGTGGTGTGACATGTTCTAATAAATTACTGTGACATATAAATTGTACGATTGAGACTACAATATGATGTTTGATGGTGACCTAATTTTTATGTGACATATAAATTTGTTATCTGTTAATTTATGATCACACAATTTGGGGGGAAATAAATTAATGTAGATGCCTGATTGATTTTCAGATAATTTTTTCAATTTTTATATTTAGATGGTGTTTGGTAGAGATTAAAATCGGATTAAAATTGAAAAACTAGTCGTTATTGTTGACTTTTATTAGATGAGTAGGACCCAATAACGACTATATTTTCAATTTTAATTGAATTTTGAGCTGTACCAAACAGGCATTTATAAAGGTTTCAAAATTGTATATTATTTTGGAATTGACGTTAAGCTAATAGATTTTGACAGCTATAACGTTAGAATCTGCATTTGTAAATGTGTCTAATTGAACATCTTGTCCACCAAAAGCAATTGACATTTTATGATGTAATAAAATTCTACATCACTATTTGAAATTATTATGCCTAATCCTCGTTTCTTGCACATGATTCCATCATTTGTGCCTCAGATTAAGGACAAATTCCCCATAGTACTCCTTTGGCCATTATTATTTAAAATGAGAGATACTATAAAAACATGTTCAATGACAGTTTTCAAATAAATGAACAATTGGCGAATTCTTATTGGAAGTTTAAAAAAATAATACAAAACATTGCCAATCAGGGGCTGACATTTCAGTCCTTGGAACAGGCTCCTGTCACTGAGTCTGTTCGTTTGGCCTTTTCCATTTAAATTTTTAATGGTTCAAATAGTTTTTTTTTTTTTTTTTGAAAAATGCGTGGTTAAAAAGAAGGAAAATTTTGGGATTACAGTAATTTTATTTTATTGGAAATATGTAATTGATAATAAGAAAGAGAAAAATTAATTATAATTTTAATGGGGACGGACATGATTTTATCCAATTAAGTAATTCTTGTAGTTATCTTTTTTAATTTATGATTAAATTCTAAACTCGTGTCATAACAACCAATCAACTTACTAAAGTCGTACTAAAAGATTGTAAGCCGATTTTAAATTATCGTTTCAATTAGTCATGAGATCCGAATTGATTGTTCCCTGTTCAAAAATTTTTGTTTGGACAGTTCATATCATCCATACATAATATTTTGATATAAGATTTCAGTACATAAATCACTATGAATGTGGTTTACAAGACATGCAGTTGTAACTTGTATTCAAAGCCAAAAAAAAAAAAGCCCATCCCAACGGCTCCATTAAAAGAAGATCAAACAGCATTTGCTTTTGCTGCTTTTTTAGGTCCCATCAAAAACGAGTTTTCCACCAAAAATTTCAAACCATGAGTAAGAACTTATTACTATTTATTGAGTTTGGTTCATAATTTTTTTAAAAAAAGTCAACAACGCGCTTTGGTTAAATAAACGTCATTCCATTTTCTCTCATTTCAATCTCTGAGAATTCGATTTGTCAACAAGACTCAATTAAAGTAGTTCGTCGAATTTTAATTTTTTTAATGCTCTCGAGAGTCGTGCATTTGACTTTACTATACGAGTCGTAAATGACATCAACCGATTTCAAAAGATTGACGGCATACTTTATAAGGTGTAACCGACATATTATACAGTATTAAGGAGAAAAAAATGGAATAATTCATGTCGGTGCTGAGCACTGAATATGCTTTGAAGTTCAATTTCTTTTATTAGATTGATAACCGTATCGAATATCATAACTATTCAAATTCGATCCGATAATCACAAATGTAAGGAAGAGATAATATAAATAGAAATTATATTTAATAAAATATATCGACACTTCTTCCACGTGCTTTCTCTACAACCAATTAGAAGTCCAAAAATGACTTCCTACGATTCACATTTAGCAGGCTAGGTTGCATTTGACAATCAAGTAAAAAAGGAAAAAAAAAAAAAAAAAAGGGAAAAAATGATAAAAAGTAAAAATTGGTGGAAAGAAAAAGCCATCAAATTAACCCCCAACAAGCAGTTGAAACTAGGCCTTCTTTTCAGTCCCTACACTTTCCTAAGAAACCTTAAATTTCACAAGACCAAATGAAAATATATGACGTTGTCTTGTTTTAACTTATAGTAATAATTTATCAGCAATGAGAGCCCTTCCGACAGTTGAGTGCGCCGACGCCAGAGGTGATGGAACTGATAAGTGAAGATGGCTTTGCACCTAAGCTTGAAGCCCTAGCATAGCTCGATGATGCTCCAGCACCAGAAGGGATAAAGAATGCTCCATTCAACATTAGGTCACCTTCCGATCTCCAATTCCAATTCTTCCACTCGCTCTCTGGTGCATCCTCGTGCTTCGTCACCTGCACATTTACACATATGAATTAAGTCTTATTCCTTTTAAATTTAGAATCGAAAAAGGATATAATTTATCTGAAAATAACGATTATGTGCATTTTACCTCTTTGCTGAATCTTTCGTTAGGGGCAAGAAATCTGTTGCCTTGGCTGTTAATTGTTGGAGCAGCACTTCCTCCTATGGCATACATTTCCCAATGGGTGTAGTCATTGTTCACTACATGGAAGTAACCATGTCTGCACCTGCGAGTAAAAAAACACGTTGCATCAATATATGGTCCGTCTATGAGCTAATACTGCATATCAAACATGTACTCATGCTCGAGTTTCGAGCTTTACCGCGGCATTCTTTGGACAAGCCCTTCTCCAAAGTGGTTGAAAGCAATAGTAACTTGCATGTTCTTGTCTCCATAGTAAGAATCACTATGTCCCAAAAGCATAACTTTGTCATGGTGAGTCATATAGTTGTTTGAAATTGTAATTGCAGTGGAGCCTTGAATGGCATCAATCAATCCATCGTGGCAATTTGACAAGGAGCAATGATCGACCCACACGTGGCTTCCACCAAAGATTGACACACCATCACCGTCAGATATAGTCCTCCAACCAAAGTGCTTAGTGGTGCTCCTCACCATAGCATTCCCTCCTTGTTTACAGTCGTGTATGTGTATTCCATGTATGATAATGTTAGTCACATACTGAACAGTAATGCATGGACCACCAGCAATGTGTACACTTGCACCTCTACCATCAATTGTCTTGAATGAATTCATAATAAGTTCTTCTTTCAATCGGATTACCATATCTCTAGCAAATATGATCCACAATGGCTCTTCTTGGATGACGGCATGTCGGAGAGTCCCCGGCTTTGGGTTGACCACATCGTAGTCCCCAGAATCCCGAACGACGTATATTTTTCCATCTCTTCCACCAACAGCATTCTTTCCAAATCCTATCGCGCAATCCGCTAGCTTCTGGCGATTCCGCTCCCAATTGGCATCGCACCTCCAGCAATCATCGATGGGATTCCCAGTGTTGCAAGAGAGAAATCCCAGTTTCCTCCTCGAGGCATTGAGTTGTCTGCATTCGAAAAATGTCACATATCGTTAGTCAAAACTACTAAAATTACGCTCAGTAAGTATTACTATTCATGGTTGTGCACCACAATTGAAAAACATGACAAATTAAGTATTACAATTCTCAATAAATTTATAGTCAAACGTACGTGTGAACTTCTTGGACGACCAATTCGGGGTCTTGAACTCGAGAGGAGGAGGCAGCTAGGGATTGAATTAGTAGACAGAAAATGAGAGAAATGAAAGAGATTGAAACGAATGCCATTTGCCTCTCTTTCAAAGTGTAATGTGAAGTAGTGAGAAAAAAATGGAGGGTGAGGGAAATGAGTGAAAAATGGAGTGCTTATAAAAGGCAAAAAAGCCGTGGAAGAAGGCGGGATTAAACTAAACGTGTAGGGCCCTCCAATTCCTTTGTGATTACTAAATTTACGGAGATTCCCATGAGGTAGTTTTCGGTCGTTAGGCATGTCTTTACCTTATCAAGGTTGAAATAAATAGCAATATCCACCTATGTTTTAAGAATTGGATCGAATTGATCGATTTAACCTGAGAAAATTCAAACCCGCTAAAATAATATCCACATAAAAAATAATAAATTTATTTTATGTATTATTTGATATTTTTTGGCCATCGGTTCAACCCTGACCATTCAATTGATATTCATAGGGCTCGACAAAAGTTCTTGCATGCCTAAGCAGTCAAGGAGTGCTAGCATCGATAAAAAGTTTTAGGATTTTTCCACTTGTACATCAA